AACAAAAACGCCTTCCACTATTTGCTATGACATAGAATAATGTCATTCAAGTCAGTTAACTTTATTGACTTTTAACAATTTAACACCATACTACAGCGCCCTCAATATATTAACTGATACTAGTAGTTAAAGTACGCCTAAAAGGACACTGACGGTCGTCAACGGACTGTTTGGGGTTTAGGATTAAATAAACTAGAACGAGACCCAAAGCAGGCGCTTAACCACCGTGAGCGTCCGAGTTGCCGTCCTTTAAGGAAATACTGCTCATTTGGTAGGTTATGGGTTGAAACTAGACTGGCAAAGTCTGGGCGATTTATTTCTTTTTAAATTTAAAATTAAATAAAAAAAAAGCGAAATGGAGATGTTAACGCGAAATCCCCTGTAACCGCGAAAGCATCCAGACTGGACGTTTTTGCCGTGCCCTCTGGGGTGAAAGCAGGAACTAGTGTGTTTTCATACTAGTTTCTTATGTTAATGAGCAGAATGACAGGCAAGAACGTTACCCAATCAGAGTAATTTGACCTTTAAGCTATATCTAGTAAACCTTTGAACCTGAAGACTTGTGGTGGTTTCGCGTTCACCCCACCTTCAATTTCGCAAAACTTTTTTTTCTCCATTTTTTTATAATTATTATTATTATTATTATTATCTCATTTAACTGAATAAAATCACCACAGCTGGGCCAGCCTAGGTTGAAACCTGTGTATTACCAAAAAGCATCAGTAAAGTAAAGTCAAAGTCAAAGTCAAGTCAAGTAAAGGGAGGGACGTCACCAGGGCACGCGCGGAAACTGAGTCCCAAGCGGCGACGACAACAACACACGCTGAAAACACAAAGGCTCTTGGGTGGACGCAGGTGACGACACCCCCGCTTTAAACCTATATACAGTGTATACTGACACATGCTCCATATGTTATGTCAGGTGTGTATGACTATTTACTGTATGACTATTTATTGGCACTGTGGTATGTTGGGTATCCCGGCATGCCCAGTTGATCACAGGCATCTGTTAAAATTTTCATTTGTTAACTTATGTGTCCGCAAAATTAGCAACTATGGCGATAGTGAAAATTTGGTTATGAGGTTCGCGCAATTCAATAAATCAAAACAGCAATAATTGTGATTTGTCTGTGGCACACTGGAGGACATAATATCGAATATATCATATGTAATTAAATCAGTATTCAAAAGCAAGTCGTGAATGAGACTTCTTTACAGTATTGCAATGATACAAAAGATTTTTTGCGAAAACAGAATCAATTGATCTTAAAATACAAATCGGGGTATCATAATTGTAAATACTCTTAATTAAAGATTAAGCAGTGATTATATGTAGATTATTTGACAATACAATCAAATAATAGAATCAAAATATCTGATGTGAAACAATTAATTGTTTTCACATACGACATAACGATATACAGAGTACAGAGCCATAGACAAAAATCGAGATAGGGGCAGAGATCTCCATTTCTTTATGTGCCCATCAACATGATCAAGACCTCATAATATATAATCTGTACAAGTATTCAAAATATATTAGACATTACCATGTTTCCGAAAAGTTCACTCATTTATTTTCAGCAGGTATTTTCATATTTGATTACCCATATCGTATTTTCTATTTCCAGCCCGATCGTTATCTTTAATTTACCGTTTCTCAGTTGCAAAGAACCCACCTTTCTCATATTGCAGTCTTCTGTCCAGGAACAGATTGTCACCGTCGTATATAGTGTGATACACACATGTCTTTTATATTACTTTCAATCGTTTGTACAATTTGTTTATTATTTTGATTTTCTTATTGATATGTAGATTCGTGACATACACGTATTTATTGAGTACTCATCTTCAGTGTTACTCTCTGACAAGTATATAGTGTCATAGCATTTTGTAAATTTCGTTATTCCAGACGGAAGTCTGCAGTATAGTAAACAATAGTTTTTGCTTGATCCAATGTATCATGTGAATATTGAAACATATTTGTTTATTATAGATTGGAATCAATGACTTACTTGTAAATAAAATCAACCTGTCAATATTTACATTAAAATATTTATTATGGAAATAATTTAAGAAATAAAGAATCTGTCACAAATTGGAAATTAATGGTAGAAAGGTTGTAATTCTACTTATGTTGTTTCTATAGCAACAATTCCACAAACATTTTGATCACGTTATCTATGTTTCCTTGGTGTTTCTTTCTGTGAAATGAGATGAGTAAAACTAGTGTTGGAATATTCAGTAAGTTTGAATGTACAAATTCCAAAGCAGCTATGAATTTAGTTCTCAAGTAAAAATATATCTAAACAAAATTTGGTGGGAACATTATTGGTTCGAGTTAAATTGTAGGTACCGAACACAAGTAAAACCAAGTTATAAGTAATATATCAAGCAACACGTTACTCGAGTAATAATTGTTTGTTAGACAGACATCTATATCATAATCCTGTAAATATCGCATCAATGGTTATGTAATGAACTTACTCAAATGTTCAGATGTGCCATGAAAATATCTACATCTTCACATTTACCGTAATACACACTTCGGAGTAATAATAATAGACATATTGAAATCGGGCTGCTGGCAAAAAAACTACCGCCCCCTAAGATTACACACGGCCAATTACATAGTAAATATTCATCTATTTGAACACTGAACCAATCAATTAAAGTATTATTATAGTATATCAAAGGCGACGTCGGAAGTTCAAGACCATAGTTATCAATTGCTGACTATTGAGATTCTCACGGAATCCATTACTATTTAGATGACATGATCCGCTGACACCATGTACTAGTATGCCGACAACCTTTGCTAACACGGTTATTGTAAATAACCATCAAAATAATCTGTCATAGAGACCGGACATACTAATATTCATAAGACTGAATCAGCTGAATTTCAATTATACGTTTTAATAGATTTATGTGTGGAATGAACGGTCTGTCGATTTTGAAATGGGTTATTGTTGGTACGTCGTGTGTACACACTGATTGCATTTTCTAATACTTCTTAGTACACCAATACTAATTCCCTCCACACTTAAAATAGCGACTCATGAACATGACAATTACAGAAAACACAGTAAACACCGTTATATGCTACAGAGCAAGAAATTTAAAAAATTTATTTATAATTAGATGCGGAGATTAGTACTGAAGATTTTCACGCCTGTAAGAGCCATTTATTATTAAAAACATAGCAACTATATAAGTCTTCCTCAATCAAAAAGTCATTTTATAAACCTCTTATCAAAAATGTCATCTAGGCTGATTTATAACACAGCAAATATAATTAAAATCAAAGGTTGAGTCATGGAGTACAATTTCTCACATTAAAACAATTAGAGAACAAATGCTATCAACAAAAATGTATTTGAAACACTTGTTCTAGCTGCTAAATAGTTAAATTCACAAGGTATTGGACAAATAAATACTCAGTTGTTACAATCACAGGCAATGGCAATATGGGAAAGAATTATTTCAACTACTATGATTTTATTTTTTCTTCATTTCACTACAGTCTATATTTGCACTCCTAGACTGTAACAAAACAGTTCAAACCACAAATTGAATATAGACAGCTAATATATCACTCATATTTAAAAGTACAGCATGTCCTAATAATAGTCATTATTATAGATATCAGAGCCATAGTTGTAATCATGTTTCATGAAATTATGATGCGCGATCTACTATAATCGAACTTGAACGAGATGGTAAACTGATGCATATAGAGCTAGATTACTAACAACTGTAATAAAACAATAGGCAAGTTCCAACATACAAAAATATAAAAATGAAAGTGAATGGTTAACAAAGGATATATGTACTGCAAAAACCCATCAGGTAACATTTTTTGCTGACTATGTCGATGTTCGAGAGAATACAGCAAAATTTTAAAAAAAATAATGTATTCCGTTTAAGACCCATACAAACGTAATATCCAATACTAGCAGATTATTTGTTTTCTTAACATACCTAAGTAGTCCTATCCCATTATACGTACGAGAAGAAAACTGCCCATAAATATACATGTTGGCTAATTAAATTGATCGATTTATATATATAAAACACAAACTCAAAACACAAGTGGTATGAGTAGTGTTATAAACATAATGCATGTTAATGAAAATGTTCATCGCGTGTGTGCAAAAGATTGTTGGCAATGTATAACATTGTTCATTGTGGATTAATTGGGTGATGAAATTGAGATTCACTAAAAAGATTACAATTGAATATTAGGAACAGTATCAAAATGTGAATATACGTTTTTTACTAACAAAAAATGTGCAACAAATGACCGTTTTAGGATAAACACAACAATGTGTATACATGCTGGAAAGCATAACGTTTACAAAACAACTACTTAAAAAATACGAAATTTATAGTTGCGGTTCTGTGAAAACAATAGCGACTCAAGTGAAAGTGACCGATTATGAGTGACTTCGTATTCGACCGATACCTTTTTCAGCGTGATACAATTTCCGTTGCTCATTACATATGAATTGAACCAAATAATAATAATTAGTATATTGGATAAGCAAATACATCTAATTTAATAATATCGCTTGTCAACCTTAAATTGCAATGCTTTAAACCACCACAGTCGTCGAACTACTGTGTGTTTGATAAGACTCCCATCCGACATACACAGCGTAAGATACACGGTTTGCATGGAATTGGAACTTATTGTTGCAATTATAAAACAAAACAAACAATTACGATAAGTCTAACAGCGTATACCTAACGTAGGATTGAACATTCCTAGTTGTAACGTTTGCTGAAGTATCGCACATTTTGTAAAATTGTATTGATGACGATGATGTAACATAATACATTGGATAACATCAACGTAATAAGACATATTACAGAAATTTGCAAACTGGGCCAAACATATTTTATTACAAGGTGTTAGGGTTTGGTACCCAATCAGGAACTATCTTGTTAGTAATTAGACACTGAATCCAATTCACTACCCGTATAGAATAATGCGATCAAGCTGTGACTTGCAAATAATGGGGACTTTTCACTGGATATAGGTAGTAGTGTTTGTCACCTTCTCTTGCATCTTCACCTTCCTTCAGAAGACCCTGCAGTTCAGTAACAATGGACTCAAAACTGGATCGATTGAAAGGATCTTCATGCCAACACTTCATCATAATGTCATACCTGGATTGAATTGAATGACGTATTATTAGCTTGGTTATAGGGCTGCTTGGGCTCCGCCCACAGCTTGTATTATTCACTGTGTTCATGCTATATATATGTAAATAATAATAACAGTATGAATGACGAGAAACTTTATTTGATATTCATTTCTCTTTTTCTGGTAGTATTTGTCCATGACAATAACAACGTATTTTAAATGATTACAATTGGACACTATATGTCACTCACAATTCGTCCGGTGCGTAACTAGGCTGCTGCAAACGTCGTCCATTCTTCAGGTAGTTTGGGATATCCCAATTATCAATACTTGCATAAGGCAGTTCGCATCTTGTCAAGAGCTCCCATAGCAACACTCCATAGGACCACTGTGAAATAGAGCAAATAAACATATTGAGGGCGTATGACGGTTGGGAATTAGTGGACATCCATACATAGTATATAATCATTAGTGTTACGGATCTTACCACATCAGACTTAGTAGTGAATCGACTGTTATTAATACTTTCTAAAGGCATCCATCTGATCGGCAGTCTGGCTTTCTTATCTTCGCTGGCATAATATTCACGTTCGTATATGTCACGTGACAGACCAAAGTCGGATACCTTCACAGTCTCAGATTCGTCGACCCTGGATAAATATATAATATCAATGTGGTTTCAGTCTGGATTCTTGTTTTAATTATAAATGCCAATATATCATAACATACGTACAGTAAATAATGCACGTATAATAATACTGTAATTATGAATCGCACTTACATACAGTTTCTGGCAGCTAAATCTCGGTGGACGAATTTTAGAGAAGCTAGGTACTCCATTCCCCGCGCAACGTGCAGTCCGTATGTTATAAGTTGGCGCACGGAAACCTCCTGCCAAAACATAACACATATCATTTGATGCATTGTAGAGTGAAGCGAGAATTATTTACAACTAAATACCAGAGTATTTTCTCCAAGTGTTAAAAAATACAAATACTAGTAATACACAATGTACCTGGAGACAACTAATCCCGGTAGTTGTCATAATTAAACTCCTAATCTAATCCAACCTCTCCAGATCATAATGCTACTCACTCTTTCCGGACACTCTATATACGATTTCAAATCTCCATGTGCCATAAATGGGAGAACAATCAGGACACAGTCGTTGTCATCGATACACACACCAAGCAAACTTAAGACATTAACGTGATTAAAATCCTTCATCATTATCCCTTCTTCTAGGAACTTTTTGACATCTTCAATATCGTTGCTACCTGTCACCAAGAATGAAATGTAAATTAATGTAATGTAATGTTCATAATTGCAATTGCAAGTGTTCATAAACTAAACAGAAACCTTCAGAACAATGTGTAATAAATCTATCCGTCTACACTACACCGATTAATAAGGCCCAGTGTGTCAAGTTGAGCAAAACGAATGAAACTCTATAACGGTAATGAATTAGTTAGTATGTATGAATGACAAGCTAACGCAGTAATGTGGACGTTATGGTATGTAATTGTGTATTACCACATCTTATGATCCACCTACTTTTCAATGATTTGACGGCCACTTGCTCCACCTTTCCATCAATTGTGTTTCTGAGTTCTCCGAGGACAACTCGTCCAAACTGACCTTTGTAAAGTAAAACAATATAAAGTCAGTTTAACAAATCATCACTTCCACTACCACCACCTGTAGCAACATCGTATGTTAATGATGACGAGATGATGCCCAGGACAGTATGGACCTTTGTCTGAGGCTGAAGTTTTTTTCTATTCACGCACGTCCTGAATATATTCACTTTAATTAAGGTAAAGCACATTAGCTTACCTTTGCCAATGACGTCATTATTTCGAAGGCTCAATAGATGATTTTCAATAAGAGTATCCTGCACTCTGATGCGCAGATCTTCGTCCAGTTGATCCATAATACCTATACGCTTTTGGTAACCTTTTAATAAATATAACAGTTGGAATAGATATCTCTGTTACTACATATAACTAAGTATATCAATGTAACGTAAATGATAATACATTGAAATATTATTTTACCTGTGGAATCTGGGGGCATGTAGTAGATGGTTGGTTCATCCGAATCGTCCTTTCCTTGTATGAAGGCAACAGCTGGTTGGTAATCATTTGTCTCGTGTGGGCGCATCCTAGATTTTCCGGTAAGGGACGGATGAGGTGTCCTTGCACGTCTATAATATATAATACAATTACAGCGACTGCTATGAGCAGTAGTAAAACTACAACTACAGTTATGGCAATAATCCACGGTTCGAGAGTAAACTCATCATCAACGTACTTCAAGTATCCTATTAAGTGGGTGTTGGCACTGTACTGCCCGACTTTCACCTGAATCAATCAAAACAGTAATAACATTAATACACATAATGAAATGTATACATATATTTGCAGCAACTAATAGCCACTGCATGCGCGAGACTTGAATAGAGTGTGTATGTTGGATACATGCCAAACATTAACTGAATATTTATACATAGTGTTACAATTATGTCTCTGGCTTTGTTTATAGGCAGCAAGTGCAGTTTGGGAGACATACAAGAAAGGAAATACATACCATTACATGTGGGAATCCATGAGAGGCAGCAAATTCGCTTCTACTTGGAGGCATCGTGGGCGGTGGTTTACAAGTCAGCTGGGTTCGGTACAGTGAGACAACACTGCAGAACGCCGTACCAATGTGTATATCAATGTCAGACTTCAATGCACCACAGTCTAGTCGCTCTCCCTGTGGTACAAACAGTAGCTTTATTGTCATAGTAGTTTATGGCAAATTATTGTGTTGCTTGGGAGCATGCAAAGCATTGATAAGCAGAAAGTTGTGAAGTTATCATTAATGAAAGATATCCATCGGAATGTTCTCTGTGGATAAGTGCGGAAAAAATGAGCTTCACGTACATGAATCACCAGATAGTCCTCTTCACTTGGGTTAAATTTGGCAATATTGTTATCACTCATAAACATGTAGTACTCTGGGTTCTGAGCGACAACAATTGTAGTGAATCTCTCGTCAAGATGATTTTGTATATTTTCCCACTGATAAGCTTCAACGCCATCTAAAATAAAGCCGATTCGAAATTCAATGTGTTCTCCATCTCGCGTCGTTTGTATGATTTTACAGTAATCGTCGATACTTTCACTATCTTCCACGGGGCTACGTCTATTCCGGGTGGAGTTAAACTCGGTATTAATTATAATCTCCGGTGACGGACAGGTCATTGTAGTTGAATTATGAACTTGACATATCTAAGTACAGAAACACAAATAAATAAATAAATAAATAAATAAATAAATAAATAAATAAATAAATAAATAAATAAATAAATAAATAAATAAATAAATAAATAAATAAATAAATAAATAAATAAATAAATAAATAAATAAATAAATAAGTAAATAAATAAATAAATAAAT